GTGGGGCGCTGAGCTGGTGGACGGGAGCATGGAGGCTGCCAGCGCAGCAGGGGAGTGCAGGGCAGCAACCTGGCGGCAGAGATGGGCGACCCAGCACGCATGTACAAGCCTGCGCTCGCTTTCGAGTCCCCACACCGGACAAGAAATCCCCCCACGCCGCACACCCTGGAAGCGGGTTTGCGCGGGCCGCTCGCCCAGCCTCCAGAAGAAGCGCCACTTGGAGTCGGGGCCCTGAGGCGGGGTGGGCCTGTCGGCTTCCCCCAGCTCCGCCTCCGCCCGCCGAAGGATGGCGCTGTCCGCCAGGCAGCGCGGCCGCTCCGTGCCGTCCGGCGTGGCGCCCACCTGGTAGGCCAGGTCGGGCCGCACGTCCGGCAGCTTGGCCTCGCGTGGCTGGTCAAAGTAGGCCTCCATGAGGTCCAGGAAGGCCTCACTGGCGCCCTCGTCCACCCGGGGATCGCGCACCACGACCGCGGACGCTGTGTGCAGGCAGGCAGCCAGGGCCTCGCACAGGGGCTGGCAGGCGGGGGGTCCGGCCAGGTACACGCCCAGGTCGAAGATGGGGAGGTCGGGGCAGAGGGGGTTGGCCTCCACCCCCCGGATGCCATGAGGATGGGGAAGGGAGCTGGGAGGGGAGTGCGGTGCCATTTGCGCATGGCGCATGGCCGTTGTGGCCATGGCTTCACCAACTCCCCCGTACGCGTGAAGCGAACAAAGTTATCTCCCGATCGGGCCCGACGCTGTTCAATCCGTGGCTGCCACCGATAACTGGAGAGGGTCATGAATCAACGCGTGGTTGTATGTCAGGATTGAGGGCTGGCGACATCTTTTGGGGCTCCGTGACCATTTTTTCGAATCCGGTGCACATGTCATGCCATCATGACCTGACAAGCTGCACACACCAGTAGCCAACTCAATTTGACCTGCCCCAGCAATCATGAAAATCGGCAGAGCGGCAATGTATGCATTTGAAAGACAGTCTATTGCCGATGGGACCCTTCTATTTGAGCTATGGTCTCCTGGGTGAGTGAGGTCCTGGGGTGGCTGGTACACCTTCCAGTATTATGAGTACCCCCTCACCATGAGCAAAGATCATGCGACGACACAGGAAGTATGGCTGGAAGAGACTACATCCTGAAAATCAATGTGATCCAGAGGTTTCGCCCAGGCAGTTTTCAATTCATGAACGACTTGCACAAACCTGTGGACTCCCTTGGGCAACTAGATCGCATGTAACGTTGCCAGTTACAAGTGGAAGTGGCTATGGCAGCGCTCAAAGATACTATTCGTGCTTGCTTGAGGCTTTACAACAAGCCTTAGATCAGGTCTCGTGGACCCAAAAGGATAACGTAAGCGGAGAGCCCTGATTACGTCTCGGTATGGTACGGAAGAAGTTGATCGTCAAGGCTACCGATCTTCTCAAAAGTAAAGAGTAGATACTCCTGTTGGTATTATTGCGATCAGCCGTTCGGGTTGGGCTATCACCTGCGGCATCCCTGGCCTCGACAGCTGACGAGTACTCGGGTGGTACGAGGAGGCCAGTGTCACTCCGGTAGCCTCACGCCACTCGGAGTGGCGCCGTAATGGCCGATTATCTCGGTTCCACGCCCACGGGCGACTGGCCCTGGCAGGAGCGGGCCAGGGGGGGTGACAGGATCTACACCCTGTCGACCACCTCGAATGCGGGGGTCATCCGTCCCTCCCAGGAGTCGCGGGCCGCGGACTTTGAGGCCCTGAAGCAGGCGGCCCTGGCCGAGCTGCATCCCAAGAAGCAGCGCACCGCCGCCGTGCTGCCCACCAAGGATGTGAGGAGGAGACTCCTTGGGTGGTTCGTGGCTGTTTGCTGGCAGTCTGTCGTAGTCCTGATGGTGCAAGTAGTCCTGATGGTGCAAGTAGCGGGAGCAGGGGGCAGTTGAGCATGGGATCTCGGCCTTGGCGCACCCCTCTGATGACCTGCTTTCAACTTGGCACAGGGCCGGGGTTGGCCCAGCCATGGCAGGGTGCATGTGTCCCCTTGCAAATCCGCACGCCCTCTTACCCCGTGCCGTCCTTTCCTTCACCGCGACAGGGATCTGTCAAGGTGCTGGACACGCGCAAGATGGATCGCCACACGCGGGGGGAGCTGCTGGAGAGCCTGGCGGAGGAGGACACGGGGAGCAACCTGGTGATCCTGCAGAAGCTGCGCGCGCGCATGGACAAGGCGGGCATCCAGCCGCCGGTGGTGGTGGTCCGCTACCAGAACCTCTCGGTGCTGACCACCATCATGGTGGGAGACCAGTCGGTGCCCACCCTCACCAACTTTGTCAAACGCATGACCGGGGTGGGTGACGGAGTTCCCCGGGGGGGTGGGGCTTGTGAGTGTGTGTGTGGTGTGTGTGGGATTATGATCCCGTCTTTTGGGCTCACCAGGACAGCTGCTTTGCTGGCCTCCAGGGCACGGGCCTCCCCTGCACGATGCGCTGCCATGCCTCCCCCACCCCCAGGCACCCCCCTCCATTCGCCTCCCCGTCCCATCAACCTCTGCAGCCCCTGCTGAAGGCCATCGGCAAGGCGCCGGAGACCACCAGCTACCCCATCATCGACAACGTCAGCGGCGTGTTGAGGCCGGGCGTGCTGACCCTGCTGCTGGGCCCGCCCGGCTCGGGCAAGACCACGCTGCTGAAGACGCTGGCAGGGTACAACCTGCGCGACCCCGGGCTCCAGGTGTGGGGGTGGCGAGGGGGGAAGGCTGGCCTGAGGAGTGCCTGGGCCCTGGCTGGCCCTGCCAGCGCTGGTCAAACCCTACTCCCTCCCGCTCCTACCACCCACCCACCCACGCCACGCCACGCCACCCATGCCCCCCCCCCCCAAAAAAAAAGCACCCATCCACAGATCAAGTCCAAGGAGCTTACGTACAACGGCAAGGGCTTCCACCAGTTCAGGGTGGAGCGCTCCTCGGCCTACATCTCCCAGATCGACGAGCACTTTGGCGAGCTGACCGTGCGCGAGACCTTTGACTTCTCGGCGCGCTGCCAGGCCAGCGGCTACCGCACCACCATCATCGAGCGGCTGGCGGAGGCGGAGAAGGCGCAGGGCATCGTCCCCGACCCGGAGCTGGACGCCTTCATGAAGGCCGCCATCTACGCCAAGGGCAAGGACGCCAGCCTGCAGGTGGACTCCACGCTGGGCCTGCTGGGCCTGGAGGGCTGCGCCGACACCGTGGTGGGGAACGCGATGCTGCGCGGCATCTCAGGCGGGCAGAAGAAGCGCGTCACCACGGTACGCTGTGTGGTTTGGTGTGTGGAATGTGTGTTGTTGTGGGGTGTGAGGAGTTGGATGGGCAGTGATGCTGTAGCGCTGAGGGGAGCAATGCTGGGGTGCACTGTGTCCCCCACACGACGCTCCAGCCCCGGAGTGCACTCTTTGCGTCGGGGCTGCAGGCTGTGCTGGAAGGCGCGCACGTATGATCGGTCCATCTGCGTGTGAACAACACTCCTCCACCCACACATGAACACCCCCCTCCTCCCCCCCCCCGCCGGCCGCGGCCTCAGGGCGAGCTGGTGGTGGGCCCCGCGCGCGTCATCTTCGCCGACGAGATCTCCACAGGCCTGGACTCCAACACCACCTACTCCATCGTCAAGTCCATCGGCAACCTGGCGCACGTCATGGACTACACGGTGCTGGTGGGCCTGCTGCAGCCCTCCCCGGAGACCTTTGACCTCTTCGACGAGGTCATCCTCATCTCCAACGGCAGGGTGAGGGGGAATGGAGGGACACAGGGGATGTGGCGTGGGTGCGCAGATGCTGTGTATCTGTGTGCAAGTGCTGCCCCAGGCATTCTTTGTACCAGGCTGCATGCTGCATGCAAGCCCCATCCTGCCGTCCATCACCTCTCCGTCCCCCCCTCCATCCATTCCCAGATCCCTTACCACGGCCCCCGCGAGACGGTGCTGGAGTTCTTCGAGTCCTTTGGCTTCAACTGCCCCGTGCGTCGCGGCGTGGCCGACTTCCTGCAGGAGGTCACCACGCCCTCGGACCAGCACAAGTACTGGGACGCTGCGGCGCTAGGTAAGCCCTTCCGCTACCAGACGGTGCAAATGATCGAGAACCGGTTTGCCGAGACGCCGGCCTGGAAGAGCATGGCCGAGGAGTTGAGCAACCCCTACGGCGGCCCCGAGGAGAACAACCTCGCCCTGCAGACCGCACAGTGCGTGAGGTTGGGGGTTGCAGGGGAAGGGGTCTCGGATTGCTTTGTGGGCGGGGTTGTGTTGGAAGGTACGAAGTGGTTGGGAACAGTCCTGGGTGGCTGAATGGCGTGGCGGAGGACGGATGGGTGGTGGAAAGTGTGGAGGGATGGGGATTGGAATCACATAGTGGTGTTCTGCCGCACACGATAGGGTGACCTGGACCCCCTGCATCATCCCCTGATTGTCTGGTGCTCCGAAGACTGCCCCGTGCAGCCTCTCCCCTCCTGGTGCACACCCACGGACGGAATCCCGGCGCTGTGTTCATGTCATGCGGGCGCTCGACGCACGACTCATCCTGCCTCTGACATCCATGCCACCAGACCAACCTCCCCCTTTGATTTCCCACCCCCCCTCACGACAGCTACGCTCAAAAGCATGGCGAGCTGCTGCGCGCCAACTTCTGGCGCCAGGTGGTGCTGCTGGTGCGCAACAAGATCTTCAGCATCATCCGCACCACCCAGGTCCTGATCATGGCCCTGGTGGTGGCCACCGTGTTCTGGAAGGAGAGCAAGGAGAACGTGCAGGACGGCAACCTCTTCTTCGGCGTCATGTTCTATTCCCTGCTCTACCAGCTGCTGGGCGGCATCTCCGAGATGCACATCTTGGTGGAGCGCCTGCCCGTCATGTTCCGCCAGCGCGATGCCAAGTTCTACCCAGGCTGGGCCTTTGCGCTGCCGGTCATCATCCTGCGCATCCCCTTCTCCCTGATCGAGGCCACCATCTGGTCCCTCATCGTCTACTGGGTGGTTGGCTTCTCCCGCTCTGTCCGCTTCCTCATGTTCTGGGTCCAGCTCTTCCTGGCCAACGTCTGGTCCGTCCAGATGTTCGTGCTCATCGCCGCCGTGGCACGCAACGACACCATCGCCACGGCCGCGGGGAGGTGCGTGGGGTGTGTGTTTGATATCTCGAAGGGAGGTCCAGGGGAACAGGGTCAAAGGGGGTGCGGTGGGGATGATGCCGCGGCCAGTGTCTCAGCCCTTCTCCACCATGCGCCCCCCCCCTCAAACACCCCAACCCACTCCCACAGCTTCTTCCTGCTCATCTTCATCAACCTGTCGGGCTTCGTGCTCAACACCTCCGACATCCCCCCCTGGTGGCTGGGCGGCTTCTGGGGCAACCCCTTCTCCTACGCCACCCGCGCGCTGGCCATCAACGAGTTCACCTCCTCCCAGTGGGACGTCCCCGACCCGGTTAATGGCGGGACCCTGGGCGCCAATGTGCTGGCCTTCCGCGGCTTCCAGTCCGCTTACTGGTGGTGCTGGGTGGCCATCGGCTTCATCATCGGCTCCTTCGTGCTCAACGCCTGCGCGTTCGTGGCGGCCATCACCTTCCTGGGCGCCCCCCACTCCAAGCCCACCATGACCGAGGAGTACCTGGAGGAGTACGACCTGGCGCGCCGCGTGCTCAGCGGCTCCGGCCGCACCGACCTGCCCGCCTCCGTGCGTACCGCCAGCCGCCTCGCGCCCGGCTCCAGGCCCGCGTCGGGGCCCCTGGCCGCCAAGGCGGCCGAGACCGGCGCCGCGTCTTCCGGCCCGGCAGGGGATGGCACGGCGCTGCCCGTCGCCGGCGCGGCAGGGGATGGCGCGGCGCCGCCCGACGCTGGCGCGGCGGGGGATGGCGCGGTGCCGCCCGACGCCGGCGCGGCGCCGCCCAACGCCGGCGCCGGCTGGCCACCCGCCTCCACCCCCGACGTGGAAAACAATGCCCCCAAGGGGAGCGCGCCTTCCACCACGCGCCGCACCAGCTCGGCGATGCTGCGCCCCAGCGAGCGTGCGGCGGCGTCCTTCGCCTCGGGCGAGGCGTACCGCCGCGGCACCGCCCTGCCCTTCACCCAGATGGTCATCACCTTCCGCGACGTCTGCTACTCGGTCCCCCTGCCAAAGGACCTCGACCGGGGCAAGGCCGACACGGGGGGCGAGGGCCCGCACGCCGGCCAGCTGCGCCTGCTGAAGAACATCAACGGCGCCTTCCGCCCCCACGTGCTGACGGCGCTGATGGGCGCGTCGGGCGCGGGCAAGACGACGCTGATGGACGTGCTGGCGGGGCGCAAGACGGAGGGCGTGATTACGGGCGACATCCGCGTGAACGGGCACCCCAAGCAGGACCGCACCTTTGCGCGGGTGATGGGGTACGTGGAGCAGACCGACATCCACATCCCGCAGGCCACCGTGCACGAGGCCTGCCAGTTCAGCGCGCGCCTGCGCCTGCCCACGACGGTGGACGCCGCCACGCGCGAGGCATTCGTGGAGGAGGTCATGACCCTGGTGGAGCTGGACCGCCTGCGCGGCGCCTTTGTCGGCTCCCCCGGTGTGTCGGGGCTGTCGGTGGAGCAGCGCAAGCGCCTCACCCTGGCGGTGGAGCTGGTGGCTAACCCCTCGGTCGTCTTCATGGATGAGCCGACGTCGGGCCTGGACGCGCGCGCCGCGGGCATCGTCATGGGCGCGGTGCGCAACACGGTGGACACGGGGCGCACCGTGGTCTGCACCATCCACCAGCCCTCCATCGACATCTTCCAGACCTTTGACGAGCTGCTGCTGCTGAAGCCGGGCGGGCGCACCATCTACAACGGCCCCATGGGCGACGACTCGGCCGACCTCATCGCCTACTTCCAGGCCATCCCGGGGGTGGAGGCCATCAGGCCGCGCTACAACCCCGCCAACTGGATGCTGGAGGTGAGCAACCCGGGGAACGAGCGACGCCTGGGCAAGGACTTCTCCGAGCTGTACGACGCCTCGCCCCAGGCGGAGGCGCTGCAGAAGCTGCTGGCGGCGGAGGCGGAGCCGCGGGAGGGCGTCCCCGACATCGACTACTCCGCGCTGCACATCGCGGCGCCCATGGAGCAGTTCCGCGTGAACCTGCGCCGCAACTTCCTCATGTACTGGCGGCTGCCGGAGTACAACATCACACGCTTTGCCTCCACCATCCTCATCGCGCTGGTCTTCGGCTCCATGTTCTGGCGCCTCGGCTCCGACCGCACTACCGTGTCGGGGGTGCTGAACATCATGGGCGTCATCTTCTCCTCCACCCTCTTCGTGGGCATCAGCAACTGCCTCACCGTCCAGCACGTCATCTCCACCCAGCGCACCGTCTTCTGGCGCGAGCGCGCCGCCGGGCTGTACGGCGTCCTGCCCTTTGCCGCCGCGCAGCAGCTGGTGGAGCTGCCCTACATCCTCATCCAGGCGGTGGTCTACGTCTCCATCGTCTACTGGATGATCTGGTTCCAGCGCGACGCGGGCGCCTTCTTCTGGTTCCTCTTCCTCTTCTTCCTCACCCTCTGCTACTTCACCTTCTTCGGGGTCATGGCCGTGTCCATCACGCCCAACGTTGCCTTTGGCAACGTCTTCTGCTCCTTCTTCTTCGGCGCCTGGAACCTGCTCTGCGGCTTCCTCATCCCCGAGCCCGCCATCCCACGCTACTGGGTCTGGTTCTACTATATCAACCCGGTGTCCTGGAGCCTCTACTCCCTGGTCATCGCCCAGCTCAAGGACTTTGGGGACGAGTACATCGTCGGTGCGTTGGCAGTGGGAAGAAGGGGGGGGGGGGAGTGGGGGGAGAGCATGCCTGAGGGGTCTGGGTGGAGTAGTCCAGGGTGGCGTTGCAAGGGACCGACGGCGGTGAGGGGAGCACCTGAAACTCCGACATGCGGCTGGCCAAGCACCTCACCACCGCCCATCACCCACACTTGACCGCCGATCGCAGGGCTGGATGGCGTGGAGAGCAGCATCCCAGACTTCCTGGAGAGCTACTTCAATTTCAAAGCAAGCATGCTGGGCCCCTCTGTGGCCATCCTGTTTGGTGAGCCGCGGGGTGACGCAGGCTGTTTGCTGGCACTGCAGGTTTTCGTGCCCCGCACCGGATTAGAGCTGTGCGTTCAGTGCGTGCACCAAGGGATGCGCCCTGCTATTCTGCTGAATCTTGTGTCTGTGCCTGGGGCCCGTCCCACACACACATCCTACACATCCCTGGCCAGGCTACTCGGTCCTGTTCATCGCCATCACCGTCTTCGCGCTGTTCAAGATCAACTACCAAAGCCGCTAGGTGGAATTCAAAGTGCGCTGGGCCGCAAACACATGCATTGCCAGACGCCGGCCAAGGTCAAGGCCGGCTTCTCAAACAGAGCCGCTACCATGGGCCCCATAGTCTACATTGGATTTGTCCTACTCTTCCCTGTGCTTGCGATGAGCCTGATGCCCCCGAGGGTTGTCTGTGCCCAGACTGATCTGAACCTGCCATAGGTGGAAGTGTCTATGGAATGGGTGTTATATGCAAAGTATTCTCGCTCAGTGCGATGGCACGGGATGCTGCCATGGCATGTGGAGAACGAAGTCGATGACGAGCCGCGACCAGCGGACTTCTCTTACCTGGACAGGGTTCGGGCCGAGCCTGGGGCGGAGGAGGTGGGGTGCGAGTGTGGAGCCACCTGCGGGCCCGCCTGCCCCTGCGCAGCCCAGCACCCGTGGGGCCATCTCTACGGTGCCGACGGGTGCCTGGTGCCGCTGCAGCTCGGCATCGACATCGATGTTTTGCTGCAGGAGTGTGGACCCGGGTGTTCCTGCCGGGGCACCTGCGCCCCTCCCCCGGCCCATCAGGAGTCCCCCGTGCACATCCGCCGCATCCCCAGAAAGGGCTGGGGCGTGATAGCAGACTGCAATATCCCATGCGGCGCCTTCGTTTGCGAGTATGTGGGTGAGCGGGTGACGACGGCGGAGGCCTGGCGCCGTCTCCGCGACTACGACGCCGCCGGCAGGGCGCACGCCCTCCTGGTGTTCCGTGAGATCCTGCCCTCCCAGACCGCCGCCCTGCGCATCAACATAGATGCAACGCGCCAGGGTAACGTGGCGGCCTTCATCAACCACAGGCACGGGGGCCAGAGAGTGCCCGCAGGTGCCTGGACGGGTTCTGGACTATGACTGCATGCCCCACACCCCACTCTTCCCCCCCCATTCTCACAGCTCCTCCCTCTCCATGCAGCTGCGACGGCGGCAACCTCATCCTCCTGGCTGTCCTGCCCCGTGGCTGCATGGTCCCCTCCCTGCGGCTATTTGCCCGCCGGAGCATCGAGGCCGGCGAGGAGCTGACCTACTCTTATGGAACCCCGGCCGGTGGGCACCCCTCCCGAGTCCAAGCCCCCTGCCTCTGTGGCACCCCAGCCTGCCGTGGTTTCCTGCCCCGTGACCCTGCATAGTACTTTACATGCTGCCTGCATGGCAGCGCAGACAGGCACTGGATGAGAGGCATGGGGCGACCCTTCCCGAGCAAGGGTGAGGTCCAAGACGCCAAGGGAAACAAGGGTGAGGAGGTGAAAGATGCCGGGGGCCGGGTTACAATTGTGCATCTTCTCAGCACGGGAAGAAGAGGGGGAGTTATTGGTCCGGGGCCTGGGCCTCGCAACCTGTCGCGAGGAGCACACTACTGACTGCCTGGCTTGCGGCAGGGCCCCAGGTCTGACGCCGGCTGGGGTGGGGAGCAGGCCGTGTGACGACCAGCTCATATGACAGTTCGGTTCACTGACCGAGGTGGCCCGTCGATCCCGTCGGGTGAGGGCCGCCACAGCCCAGCACCCGCCGCTCCGGCCATCCTCGGGGTGCTTGGGTTTCAGTGGGCCTGGGCGCGCCAAGGCCCCAGCAGCAGGGACACGTCAATCCTGGTCTGGGTTCCTGCCACGGTCACCCGCATTCCCTGGCCCTTCCACGTCCTCCGGCCCTTCTGCATCCTCCAGCGGCCCTTCCACGTCCTCAGGCCCTTCCACGTCCTCCGGCTCCTCCGCCTCGCCCAGTCCCTGCAGACCGGAGGCGAAGAAGCTGGAGCCCACCCCCGCCATGGAGGCCTGGCTCCTGGGCCCGACGCCACTGGCGCTCCCGCAGAAGACCATGAGGGGCAGGCTGGCGCCGGGTCCGGGGGGCACGTCCTGAGGGACCCCGGCGTCCGCCCCCGGGGAGCGGGAGTCGGGGGTCTGGGGCTCCGGCGTGCGCGGTGCCGCCACGGCGACCGACGCGACGTGCACGCTGAGGGGCGCCCGTCGCAGCGGGCCCAGCAGGCCCGAGGCGGCGCGGTCGAAGGGCGAGGGAGGCATGTGCCGAACCTGCGCGTCCCGAGGCTCCACACGCATTCCCTGCACAATACGCACGACGTGTGCGTCGTGCAGCGAATGCGCCGTGTGGAACTGCGGCGGCGCCAGCTGGGGCGGCGCCAGCTGCGGCGGGGCGCCGTCGGGGGAGGCCACCAGGTGGGGCGGCGCCAGCCGCGGCGGGGCGCCGTCGGGGGAGGCCACCAGCGGGGGCCGCTGCCACGCCTCCAGTCCGGGCCGGCCTGGCGCCACGTCCGCGGAGGTGGTCGAGGCAGGGGCGTGGCCGCCCAGGCCCTGGGGCGGCTCGGGATGGTGGAACTTGCACGTGTTTCCAAAGGAGCACCTGCGATTTGAACAGGAGTTGGGGGGGCGGGGGGTGACAGTGCATGTGCAGGTGAAGGCTGGGCAGTCGGGGCAGGGCCTGGTGAGCCGGCAGGTATCGGGCTCTCCCGGGCCCTCCAATGCCTCAGCATAACCCCCTGGCCTCCCAACTCTCAGCACACCCACCTCCAGTGCTTGGAGTAGTAGGCACAGGTCGGCTCGCCGGGGCGGAGGGGGAGGTTCAGGGAGTTGTAGCGTAGCTCTGGCAGGAGCTCCAGGGGGTGTGAAAACTTGCAGCTGAGCCGTGGAAGGGAGGGGGGGGAGGGGGGGGAGCTGGTGTGCGGGAGGGAAGCGCAGGGTGTGGGGGGCTGAGGCCCAGCACCCTCTGGGCACACAGTCCACAGAGCGGCATCCAGTGACCGCGCCCCTGCCGGATCTGGATGCCCCAAGGCCCAGTGCACTCCCGGTCCCCCCCCCCACAGCCCCTCACCTAGGTCCTCGCAGCCCGCCGCGTCGATGTAGACGGCAAACAGGTTGAGCCCGGTGAGTGCACGGAGGAAGAGCTCGACCGCGGCAGGCTGTGGGTGGCCTGCAGGGGTGAGTGTGCGGAGGGTGCTGCCACGCCTCTCTTATAGATGCGCAGCGGTACAAACCGCCGTCGGCCTCCATGCCAGCACCTTACAGACCGTCGACTCAGACAGATCGCATGACTATGCACCCCTGCGGCGGCACGGCACAGCTTCACCCATGCGACCTTCCGCATGCCAGCCTTCCAGGCTGGTAGCGCACCGTCGGGCCCATGCATGAAGGGCAGACGGAGGAGGGGGGCGTGTGCACGACTGTCCCCTCCGTGATACACTCCACCGCTTATGTACAGCATGTTTGGCTTCTTGGCTGCCAGGTACTCCGGCAGGTCCTGTAATTGCGGCGCCTTGAAGACATGGATCTGCGGCGGAAGGGGTGGGGGCCGTGGTAGGTACCAGGGCGGGCTCCGCCTGACAGCTCCATGACCCCGAAAAGCACGTCCCACTGGAGGTGACCTACCTCTATTTCGCCTTCAGACACATGCATGAGCTCCTCCAGCGCTCCCAAGCCCTGACGCTCCCCGCCAATGACCTCCTCGACGCCTTGCCCGGACCGCAAAATCACGGCGCGGAGGGAGGGGGGTCGTGTGCCCGCCATGATGCAGAATTAGTGCGACTGGGGTGTTGTAGGGCCGAGTGTGTACGGTGAGGCGCCCACCCGATGGGTGCACTTATTTAACAATTGGTGCGTCTCGAGTTGATGTCCACACCCCGCAGGTGCAGTCGATGGCGCCTGGCACGCCCACATGCGATGCGCAAGGGACGAATGAATGGTATAGGTCCCGCTCAGGATCTCCGCCCCCATGGGCGGGTGAATACGCCCATGGTCCGCCCATGGGGTCCGCTGCATGATTCTTCCTCCCTCCTTTCCTCCGGGGCCTGCCCAGGCCCACTGTGGCCCTGGCCATGCCGGAATCCCCACACTTCAATCCCCACCGATCCCATCCCCAGCGCCATTACCTCAACCCCAGCCAGCCTATGATCGGCTGAGACGATTTTGCAATAGCACCCTGCCTCCAGAGGGTCCGTGGCGAGCAAGGACTCCTTCCAAGGGCAGGCGTAGTGGGCTCCGTGGGCCGGCCCTGGCCCCATCCGCCGCCATGCATCGATCCGATACGTCGGGGAAGAAGGTGGAGGCCACTCCTCCCGTGAAGGTGGTCGGTTTCCACGTCGAAGGCGCCTCCCCCTCTCCCCGCAACACCCTCCTTGGCAGCGAGAGCCTGGTCCACGCCAGCTCCCTCTCCCCCGTCATCATTCCCCCTGCCTTCCAGGTCCGTGCCTTGGTGTGCACCGGATTACTCTCTCTGAAAGTTCTGGGCCCTGCTACTGCCTGTGCTGCAACCAACGCTAATTTGATCCGGGGGCCCGCCTGGCGGCAGACGGATCGATGCATTGTGTGCCCGTGTGACGCCCACGTTTGCATCTGTGAATCTGCTGCCACGATGTGTGCCCGCAGCGTGCCTCCACCCCTCCCATGCACAAGTGTGCGGTGCTCAAATCCCTGTTCCGTTCCCACACCCTGCGCAGGGCCAGCGGGGGACGGGGGACATCTCCCCACACCAGGTCATGGCAGCGGCGGCCGCCGCCTTTGGCACTGGGCCGGAGGCCGCGCCCGCCGGGGCGGCCCAGGGCGTGGCCCCCACCTCGTTCCCGCTGCGCCCGGTGCGCACCGCCAGTGACACCGACGCGCTGGGCGCCCCCGGCACGCCCAGCAGGCGCAGCGCGGCCCTGCCCCTCACGCCCGTGGCCTCCGCCCCCGCCTCGGCGGCCTCCACTGTCCCCTCTGCGTCGCCCTTCCAGATGGCGGCGGGCGGCCCGCCCCCCGTGCCGGCCCCCACGCGGCCGCCGGCGGGCGCGGGCCAGGCCTCCCTCGCCGAGCGCCGCCCCTCGGCGCACGAGGCCCCCGCGCCGCCAGCCGGGAAGCCCACCGAGGCGCCGCAGCTGGCACGGCGGTCGGGCGACGGGCACCCGCCCACGCCCCGGGCCAAGCAGCCAGGCGCGGCCGCGCCGCCCAAGGACCCCAACCGACAGGACGGCGAGGCGGCGGCGGCCGCGCGCGGCGCGCCCCGCCAGAAGGAGATGACCAAGGCCGAGCGGCGGGGGGGGAGGGGCGACATGAGAGTGGGAGCTGGGCAACAACAGCGCACAAACCCATACCTGATGGGCGCAACTGGGCATGACAAGAGGAGCGTGGCAGCTGCTGTGACAGCATCCCCATCCTCGCCCACATCGGGGCAGCTCTCACCGCGCGCCGTAGGCACAGGTCCCAGTGCGGAGGAAGAAGACGCAGGGCTGCTGCTGCCCCTCCTCCTTTGGGTCCTCCTCATGTGAGAGGCGCGAGGAGATGCTGTGCTGCGCCTGTGCCTGGGAGGGGTCCCGCGACGGGCCCCACTCCGACTCTGACCAGGTGGGGTAGCTGCCCATGGGCCGGTGGGGCAGGCTGAGCACGCTGTGCGGCGAGGCGGACGGGGCCAGGGAGTACGCCATGCTCCCGGAACCCATGAAGGGCGATGGACTGCCGGGAACATTCATGGGAATCCAGACCATGGGGTACTGCCCGTGCTCGGGCATCGGCGAGGGGCTCGGGGAGTGCATGGCCGCCCAGGGCGCCCAAGGAACGCCCGGCCCATGGGGCACGGCTGCGGCGCTCGCGCGGTGGGGTAAACTCCCATTTTTGGAGGAATTTGATCCGCCGCTGAACGAGGCAGTGCGCCTGTTCTGAGTACGGACAGCGCAGCCGTCGGCGCTCATCTAGGCCGCGGTGCGAAGGGTTTTCTGAGCGGGGACCTGCGGGAAGGTTGGGAGGGTGCGGACTCGCGCGAAACCCGAACAGCGCTCCACCCGAGCCTTTGACACATGCAATTTGTTCTGGCCAGTGTGATGGCGCTGGGGCATTCTGCATCGGCTCACCTCCGGCCTGAAGGATTGTGCGGCAGAGCCGCTGGCCTCACGCCATCCCACTGGCAGGCTGCTGCCGGACCACAAGCGCGAAAGCGACCCAATACTATGAATTTGAAGCTAATGTGTGTAAAATGAGTAGGTCTGGGTCTCGCAGCGTTGCGTGTGCCCCAGGACGGAATCCGGCTTTCCTTGGGTTCCGCAAAATCTTTTGGAGAGGGGGACCCGTGAGGCCGGCTTGGCAATGCAGGAGCCGTTTGGTGCCTTGAGTTGGGACAGGGCATAGGATTCAGTGTATAAAGATTTTCAACTCGCAAAAATACCCATTCTTGTTACAATATTCAAGGACTCAGAAACGCCATGGCGAAAGGTACGGGGGGTGCAAACACCGTGCCCAGTGAGTTGGAATCTGACATGGACGCTGGCCAGCCGCCTCCTTGATTTGAGCGCAGGAAAGAAGAAGAGGCGGTCAGCTGCATTTGCGATGGACCAGGATGGCAGCGGCAAGCAGACCGCCCCCCCTGAAGGCTGGACAGCCGAGAGCATCGCGGATGGCGAGAGTGAGCCTGCAGAGAGCATGTACATGATGAATGACCTTGGCATGCTTCCTGAGGCTTGGGTGTGTGCTTGGGTCCCTGCAGTACGCTCGCCTCACCGGCATTTGTGAGCCATGCAGGCATGGATGTGGCCGATACAGGCTCCCAGGCCGCAGCGGCCGACCTCGCAACCCCCAGGTGTATGGATGTTCAGTGTGTGCACCTGCATACTTGCCGATGGGGCATACAGGGTTCATTGTCTCATCACCAGCCTGAGGAGCAAGGCCTCCATCGCCCAAGGCCTGCGCGCCTCCATTATAACTTCTATCCTTCACATCCCGGGACTTCATCTGTGCTGGCAAGGCTTGCCTACAAGGTGTTTTTTGATCAGATTGAAAGCATGCGCCAACCCAGCAGGAGGATTCCGGGCAAGCGCGGCCAGAAATCGCGTGCCCAGAAGCAGCGACGAGCGGCGAGGATGGAGAAGGGGCTCGCGCATGCCAGCCGAGTGGAGGGCAAGGCCCTGAAGCTGAGCGGGAGCAAGGCAAAACAGACCTCCAGCAAGAGCCTCTGGGTAACCCAGAAGGGCCACAAGTAGGGCACTCCCCATGGGAAATGCCCGAGAGGGCTTGAATATGTATGCATTGCCCTCTTTGCTGCACTTTCTCTCATACTCGATTGATATAAACCTCTGTGTATGTACATGGGATGCAGGCCCATTCATGGCCTCGAGCATCAGGGTGTCGTCAGGCCGGGGGGGCAGGTACAAGGTTTGTCAGTCAGTCAACGTCAATGCGAGAGTGAGGGCAGCAAGGGGAAAGAGGTGGGGATGGAGGGTGGGGTGTGCAGGGGTGGGCAAAAACCTGGTCTAAACTGTGCACCACGACACACGTCCTGTAGGGTCCCTCGACACACATCATTCACGGCTGCAGGTTGCCCAGCAGGCCCAGCACGCAGCGTGTGGAGTTGAGCGCGTCGTCCACGCGCTGCCAGCTGGCGCGCAGCTGCGCGGCCAGCCCCGCCGCCCGGCGCTGCAGCGACGGGCTAGAAAGGATGGCGCCGGCGTGCACGTCCAGCGTCAGGCGCAGCAGTGCCTGCACCAGGTCAAAGCAGGAGCCAGCGCAGAGCTGGGCCTCCAGGAAGGCCAACAGCGCGTCCACCAGGCGCTCGCCCTCGCCGCCGTCCTGCCCCGGCTCCGCCAGCCGCGTCAGCGCCCGCACCTCGCCGTCCACCTGCACGGGGGTCAGCGTGCGCAGCAGGCCCAGCACGGCCTCGTCCGACCCGGGGCGCGGCGCCGCCAGCAGCGCCGCCAGCGTCGGCGCGCGCCCGGGGGCGGACGCGCCGCCCAGCCCACGCACGCGCGACTGGGGGTGGTGCTTGCGCCGTGGCTTGGCGTTGGCATCCGCATCGGCGTCGGCCTCCGCGTCCTCATCTCCATCCGCCACGTCCTCATCCCCGTTCGCCGCATCCTCGTCCTCCGAGCCGCCCCAGGCGGCCATGGCCGCGGCGGCCAGCGCCGGCTCCTCGCCGTCGCCGGGGCTGGGCTCCTCGCCGCCGTCCTGCCCCAATCCAGGGACAAAGACGGGGTCGCGCCCCGCGCGCGCCCCCGCCAGCGAGGGCAGGAAGAAGGGCGCGGCCTCGGGCTTGCGCGGGGCCTCGGCCGGCGCGTTGCGCGCCTTCACCACATCCAGGTGCGCCAGGCTCTGCCACTGCGAGCGCGGCAACAGGCTCAGCGTGAGCATGGCCGGCGCCAGAGGCGCCGGCGCGCCGCTGGGCGTGCGCTTCGCCCACGCCGCGCCCGCCACCTCGTCCTCCAGGCGCAGCGCCGGTGTCGAGGCGGCGCCGCCCCCCTCCTCCTCGTCCTCGGAGCTGGAGGCGTCGCGCAGCGTGGCCAGCGCGTCGGCACCCTCCCCCGCCGAGATTTCCAGCTCGGAGTCGGAGGAAGCGTCGGGCGCGCCCACCCTTCGCGGTGTCAGCGCCAGCATGGCCGCGCTGCGCGCCGCCGCGCGCGCCGCGGCGCCCTCCTCCTCGCCCTCGGGGTCCACCGCCAGCGCGGGCAGGTGGGCGTGGCGCACGCGCGACCCCGGCACGATGTCCCCCCCCGCGCCGTAGATCAGCTGGTTGGCCCAGAGGTTGATGCCACGGGAGCCCTGCCCCGTGGTGGCCAGCAGGTCCTGGGCGGGGGAGAGGGACAGCGAGGTGACCACTCCCCCCATGTCCAGCACCTGGAGCAGCTGGGAGCCTGCGGTGAGAAAGGGTTTGACCATGGGATGGTCATAAGTAGGATTGAGGGATTCTTGACTCAGAAAAAAGGTTGTGCTATTGAGAGGGACGTGCACGGGGTCCAAGGGCAGGATGTCATGTGTACGCGACGAAGAACAATGCACAGGGGGCCAAGGGAAACAGCACTGCACCGCTCAGAAAGAGAGTCGTTGAACTCATGTTGGTGGGGTTGCCACCAATCGGTAGTCTAACATGTATATTTGGTTGAGACATCACAGCGGTGGCTTCGTGGAAGGGAAATGGGAGGGCGGGGCGTGTAGGATGCCACGGGCGGCGTGCGAGGGGCTGCCTTGTGGGAGTCAGGCGGGGCGCATGCAGGCAGATCGGGCCGCCCACCGCACAAGAACACACATCTCGAGGCTCAGCATATGGGTGGTGATATTATGCTTGTCGTCACGGAACTCCCAAGGGAGGTGTCTTCAGACGAACGAGACTATCAACTTATCATCGCCAGGAGGTGTGGTGTTGTGACATGGGGGCCAGGGGCGGGGCAGGAATACAGATAGCTTTGGGGGTCTTGAAACCACAGAGGGAGAGGTGAGAGAGGAACAAGACCCCCCTACGCACCCACCTGGAATGTCCCAGACCCGGAGCGTGCCATCCATGGAGCTGGACAGCAGCCAGCGGCAGTCCTCGCTGAACTGCAGATCGGTGACCCGGTCGAGGTGGCCCTCGAACCTCCTCACCAGCCGCTGGGCCTGTGGATGGGTGTGTTGGTGTGGAGATTGTGAGTCGTGTGCCGAGAGGAGACAAGTGTCCATGGCAAGCCAAGCCAAGCTTGGGAGTCCTTCAGAAAACGGCCAGGGGAGTGTCAGGGTCCTCAAAACAGAGGTAGGAAATCAGATCAGAACAACACCTGAGGGCCACCTCAGTTACAGCAAAGGGGTATCAGCACACCGCGCCAGGAATGAGTTAGATTGGCGCGTAAGACTGGTGCCAGAATGTTGTCATCACCGGTGGCCCGCAGGGAAGGGAGGGGGCCAGCGCCCTGTGCGAACTGGTCTCAGGCATGCAAAGAAGCGGACGGATAGCAAAGTTTTCGATGGTTGCAAACCAGGCCCTCATCATGCGCCCACCCACGCGCCCCCCAACCCTCTGTGGGACACCCTAAAAAGAAAGGGGGGAGGGACCGCGCACCTCGACGTCGTAGATGCGGAGCATGAGGTCGGCCGGCGCTACGGCCACCAGCCCCGAGGCCGGGTGGCACGCCAGCCTCTGCACCGCCGCCCCCACGCCCAGCTCCCCCGTCAGTCCGCACCGCTTGAAGTCCCAGGTGCGCAGCGCGCCGTCCTCCCCGCCGCTGACCAGCCAGCGGTTGGCGCCGTCGGACGCTAGGCCCGCCACCGCGCCGTCGTGCGCGGGGGATGGTCGGCCCGCCGTGGCCTCGCTCGCCGCGTCGCCGCCTCCTGCCTGGCGCTGGTACTCGCCGCGGTGCAGGCCGGATTGCATGTTGTAGCGGTGCACGGCGCCGTCCGCCGAGCCCACCACCGCAAAGTTGCCGCAGGCGGAGAGCGCGACGGCGGTCACCGCGTCGCGCGGTGCGGCCTCGCCGTGCGCCTGTCCGGACGCGCCGCCCCCGCGGCGGCGCCGCCCCGGCGGCTCCAGCACGTGCTCGCCCAGCACGGCATGGGCCAGGCGCCAGGTGAAGGCGCGCGCCTCGCCCGCGTGCGCGGTGACCACGTTGGCCCAGTCGCGCTCGCGCGCGTCGCCCGCCGCCAGCGCCACGACGCGCGGCAGGCGCAGCTCCTCGCGCGCCACGCGCGCGCGCTTGGCGCGGCGCTCGAGGTGGCGCTGGCTCAGCTCGCGCGACTGCGCGTCGGCGACGGCGCTGAACAGGCGGAAGGTGCGGTCCTCGCCCGCGCTGAGCAGCGCGCGCCCCGCGCCGTAGTGGCGCACCAGCGCGGGCGGCGCGGCGTGGCCCGCGCGGAAGCGGAGCAGGCGCGGCGCGCCGTCCGCGCCGTCCAGCACCCACTGCTTGGCCGCGTTGTCGCGCCCCGCCGACATCAGCCGCGGCTCGCCGACAAAGAAGTGCAGGCGGGTGACCCCGGCGTCGTGCGCGTCACGCAGCACGGAGTGCAGCCGGCGCTTCTCCAGATCCCAGAGCGTGACCGCGCCGCAGGCGCCGCCCGCCGCCAGCAGCGGTACGCCGGGGCCCGTGCGGAAGGCGAGGGCGGTGACCGCTCCGCCGCCGGGCGCGCCGGCCGCCGCGGCGCCGGCGGTGTTGCCCAGCAGGCCCGCGGCGGAGGCGCCGGTGCCCGCCGCGTTGCTGAACTCGGCCACCACCTCGTCATGACGTAAGTCCAGGAGGACCACGCGCCTGGTTGCAGGGGGGGGTGGGGAAGCGGTGGACGGGGGAGGATGTCAGGGGATTGAGGCAATGGTGGGGCTTGGCACAGTGGGTTGAGGGCATGTTGGTGGTCCAGACAGGGGAAGGGCAGCGTGACAACGGCGACCAGGAAGAAGGTGGGTAGCGATGGATCATGCAGAGAGGTGCGTCAAAACTGCACACACGGTGCAGCAAGTCACAGGGTGGAAATCATGACAGGAAGGTGAATTGTGCAAGGGCTACTATCAGATAACACCAGACTGGATCAGGCGCCGTCAGCGAAACCCCCGCGAGGCTCTCTGTGCGCCCCCCATGAAACTCCGCGTGGCAGGGGGGTATTCACCCGCGGAGAGATCAATGAGGGCGGTGGCATGGGCATGCAGGTGGGATGGGACCAAGGGTTTGAGTAGGGGGCGCACTTCATCGCAGGATGGCAGACACCTCCCACAAACTCCACCCAACAAAGGGGAGAGTGCCTCGCTCACCCATCCGCCAAGCCCAAGCCGATCACATCGAGCGCGGGGCTGGGAGCCAGCACGCGGATGCCGGACCCCAGGCCCCTGAACTCGTGCAGCAGGGTCCCCGTGGAGAAGTTCCACAGCTGGAGGCGGCCCTCCGCGGACCCCACCACCACCTTGTTCAGGTAGGTGTCGGGGTGGGCGAGAGTGGATGGGGTGAAGCCGGGCCCGAGCTCCAGGGTCTGGAGGGGGGCGGCCCGCTCCCCCAGGGTCCAGGCACGCAGGGTGCCGTCGGTGGAAAGGGTGAGCAGCGTGCTGCCCAGGACCTGCATGGCCACGACCGACCCGGTGTGGCCCCTGTAGACCCCGGTGACATGCACGCGTCTGGTCTCCACGATGTCGCCCCCCTCCAACGCAGCCAGGGTCACGTCCCCGGCGCAGGCCAGGGCAGTGATCGATCGAGGAAGCTGGGAGGGGAGTGGGTGGGGGTGTGGCTTGTGTCAGTGATGATTGTGGCAACAATTCTTTTGAGCAGGTTGTGAATCCTACCACTGGACCCAGCAGAAAATGAGCCCTGCCCCATGGCCTGCGGTCTCTCGGGGCGACCACCTCCAGCCTCGCACACCTGGGGACCGATGAGTACTACCGTGAGCTTGGCAGTGTTGTATATCTGCGGAGCAATGGTGGTGGGAGGGGCCTTTGAGGTGGGGACGAGGGCATGCCAGACGGAGGCGCAATCCCTGAATGGACACAACGGTCCCTTGCACACTTTATACCTCACTGTACGCCATCAACGTACCTGCCATGCATTGCCGACGCTCACGGTTGCGTACGTTTCCCGACCGCGCCGCTGGACTGCAAACGGGACATCGTCGACGATGTGCCCGATTGCCCGGAAGGGTTCGAAGAGGGCCATTGCGCCGTATGTGAGAGGGCTAAATCATCTTGAAAGAATGATAGGTGCATGCGAATTGGTGGGGCGATGGCCATATGTGTACGCAGCCAGCAGCCGGCTGCTGGGTTTCAGGTGGAAAGGGTCGCGCAAGGGGTTTAGGGGCCTAGGCATAGGTGTACGGTGCATCAGAGGGAAGACACGAGTGTGATTGGATCCTGTCCGGGGAAAAATGTTGCAACCGATACAATCAGATCGGAACCTTGCCTTCTGGACTGCTCCGTGGTGCCTGCATGTTGCTGTACATGTTCCAGTGCCACCAATATACAAGCTTGTAAGGCAAAGACCCAAGTCTGAGGGGGCAACGATGACCCATACCACAGCCGACGGTGCAACTTTGCAAAGTGCTGGTACCTCTGTGGACACGGAAATTTTATGAGCATGACGTGTGAAGTGCATAAGTCATGCAGCCTTTGCTACCATAAGGATTGTAGGAAACTGTCCCCCCCACAATGTTAGCCACAGTCCCAATGAGAATTCATTGCGCACAAGTTCATATTTTATTGCTGTGGGGAAGTATGCAGGCCTGTCAAGCTCCTCGTTTGATATGGCGACCCTGTGCAGTGTTCACGATCCATCTGTATACAGGCATTGTGTGCAAGATTGTCAGCTGCAGCATGCCCACGCTCCCTGCAACCTCGGATCCACATGCCCATAGATTCACAAACAGTACAAAATGCGCAGGCGTACCCAGAGTGGAGTGGGACAGGTGCCTCCTGTCCTTGTTGAACATGGTACTGCCTGCCCCGGGTTCCGGCTAGGGTTCCTCCAAACCCCCTCTCGACAGGAACACATTCTTCTGTGGTACAGGCCCACTCCGAATCCAATGTGTAGACAATCTCGACACATTTTTGCCTTAATTTCAAGACCGCGATTGTCCATTGACCGAGCCCGTGAGGGCCACGAGAGTCGCAGCCAGCGATGCCGCAACCACTCCGCCCCTTCGGCCTGGAGCGGTACCTGGCACCCCGGGAGTTCAAATGCATACATCCGATCTGTGTGAGCGACACCGAGACCTGGAAGTTGTCGGAGCTGCTGGAACATGCTGACGCGGACACCCTTGCTCG